GTGATATGTATGAAGGATGGGTCTGGGTTTTCTCTCTCTGAGGGATAGAGTGGCTGCATTAAGCCAATTACGATTGAGAAGGTAATTGATGACTTGTCTAGGATGTAAACTGATAGATTATAGAGGTATGGGTGTTTGTGGGAATCATTTTAGGCTGCAGTATTAGGGTTAAAAACTGCAGTTATTAACCAGGATACCTCTGGGTATGTTTAAAGGACATATTCCAATATAATGTTGTAGTAATGGCAAATCAATTGATCAACAAACAAAGAGGTTAGCAGATGGCAAAGAGTGACTAGCTCACTTAGGTTACTATACAAATAGTAGGAGTTAAGAAAATAAAAAATAAGGAGCTAAAGATTACTTGCAAGTGTGCGTAATATAGATATTAATTGGTATAACAGGAACCAGGTTCCACCTGAAAGTTAGAGAAATGCATTCTGAATGCAACATTCAGGTGTTATAAACTTTTCCAAACTGTTGGGTCAACAGGGAAGGGTGGTGGAAGTGGAGTGTAGTCAGAGAAAATTTTAATTTTTGTCTTAGCATGATAAAGATTAGGGAAACAATCGAACACAGATTCGTCTGCTACAGTTTCTCCAGGGTCGTGACAAATTAATTTTAGGGGTGATTTATAGGGCCCCCCAAACCTTAATAGGGTAGAGCAGTAAAATGTTATGGGGACGAAATTCATAAGGAATCTAGATCATGAAAATGTTGTAATAATGCGAGATTTTAACTTCAGACAAATTTGATTGGAACAATATGACAGGAAATCTGAGTTCTAGTGACTTTATCGATACCGTTCGGATTGCTTTTTAGAACATGTTGTGACAGATCCAACTAGAGGAAACCAATCTGGCCTTGACTTGTTCTTGCTCAACAAAGATTCGCTAATTAATAATCTTGAGGTTATATTGATGTTGTGCTTGGGGAAAGTGTTATCAAATCATTAGTTTCAATATATCAAGGAATTACCGCAGATAACTGCAATCAAATCTTTGTCCCAGATGTTTCGTTTGGCCGATTCATGGGACTGAAAATTACCTTGGTGGGCTAAATTGGAATTTGTCCTGACTATGGGTCAGGTAGGTGATCTTGGTTGCCAATATGAAGTTTTCAGAGCATAGATTCATAGCTGCTCAGACAACTTTTGTGCCGAGTAGGGAAATTAGATGTAACAAAATGATCCCAAATGGGTAAGCAATTACATAAAACATTATTGGCGAAAAGAGAGGCAATATGTAGGAGTATCAAAAAAAGGGGATGGGCAGTTAAGGAAATCAATACATTCAATTAAAGAGAGAAAATTAAGAAAGGAATAGAAAAGCACAAAAACTGGATTATTAGGGCTAAGGAAGCAAGGGATTCAAAGACTAACCCAAAAGGGCTCTTTCAGGTATACAGAAGTAAGATTAGCGACAAGATGGTCAGATCACTAACAGTGATAAGGATATGTGTGAAATTCTCAATACCTACTTCACCCAGGAAAATACTTGTGATATTCCTGAAATAATAAATTATTAGAACAAGACGATAATAAACTATGTACGATTGCAGTAACTAGTGACATGGTCCTCAGACAAATAGAGAAACTAAAAACTAACAGATCCCCAGCATGCTGAAACTGTTTGCAAGGGTGTTAAAGGAATGTAAAGAGGAACCTAGGATACCTTTGGCTAATCTTTTTAACATATCACTACAAACTGGCATAGTGCCTGATAAGTGGAAAATGGCAAATGTAATACCTATTTACAAGGCAGGTGACAGATCCTTGGCTGCAAACTATTGACAATAAGGCCTTACCTCCATAGCGGGAAAAAATTTATGGAATCAATTATTGCCGCACCGAAGCAATTCGTAGCATCTTGATAGGCACAGATTGATTAATGAATCTCAACACGGTTTTACAAAGGGGCGTTCCTGTTTCAATTACTACATTTCACTAGGTGTTTGAGGGGGTAAGATCCATGGGTAAATGAATTATGATATTTGTATATGGACTTACAGTAAGGCTTTCAATAGAGTTCCACATCAGAGGTATTGAGGAACTTAAGGCACATGGAATAGGACAGGAGAAAATTTTTTCCTGAGTAGAGGTATGGCTCTGACAGATAGGCAGCCAGAGGAGTTTGCAATAAATGGGGAGAAATCAGAATGGGTCAAGCATTAGTGGTGTTCCTTAGGGGTCAATGTTGAGGTCCATTGTTGTTCACAGAATTTACATAAACGACATAGATGAGGGATTAAATAGCGACATAAGGAATTTGCTGATGACGCCAAAATAGGCCGTCATTTCTTCTATGAGGAAACTAGAGCCTCTCCAGGATGATTTTGAATAGGGCTGATGCAAAGGTCGGAGAAGTGGCAGATGCAGATTGATATAGACGAATGCAAAGTACTAAATGTTGTACAGGAAAATAACCATGCGACATATAAACTAAATAATGTAGATCTTAACCCTTTGACTGAAACAACCTCCAATCCTGAGGTGTATTGTCTCTCGGTTGACGCCAGTTTTTAAAAAAAAAATAAATATTTTTTTCCTATGAAATGATAGAGAATCTTTTCCCGATTGTAATGACACAAAACAAACGAAATTTGATGGAAAAGTGATGGGATTACGCACTCGCGAAGTTAGCTACCTCGGCAATTTCGCCCATTTTGAGCCCTATTTTCGGCTAATTACTTTGTTCCAATCGACCAAACTCATAGCTATTTCTTTAGAACTTCCTTTTTTCTATCGATTGAGTACAAGAAACTGCCCATTTACCGATTTCAACTGCCCAGTACCGTGGTCAGAAATTTGCAATTTGGCCAATTTCACGAAAATTAAAAATTATGACAATTTCACAATAAGGTCAAGAATGAACAATGCAGACATTCCTGGCTCTACAATAACATTTTCTTTGTTCACCAGTCATGTCTCCAGGCCCCTCTGATATTACTCTTGCTTTCTATTTTGAATTTTTATTCAAAAAAAAAAAAAATGAAGATTTACTGTTATGCAGACTACTGCAATACTGTAATAATTGTATAAATAACATCAACCTATTCATGACTGCATATTAGAATGGCTAGTTGGACATTTATTGGAAAATGACATCATTTGTTTACTTTTGAACATAGGCAAAAATCAAACATTTCCCCTAATTTGAGCTCCATTTCTAGGTTCTTTTTATAATAAAATCAATCAAAATCACCTCTTTTTCCATAATATGTTTCCCATTCTATCAAATGAGACAAAGAAAACGAGAATACAACCATAAATACTATACAAAAATAGACCACAAAGTCGGCATTTTAATTAAAAAAAAACTGTTGGAGTTTTCTTTTTCTCATTATACACTGCGTGCTCCAGGATCTTTTTATATGGTGCACACTGACCATACAGACCCATTCTCTCACATGTGGGCCTATCAGCTTTCTCCTGCTTGATTTGAAGCCGCTAGAATTTATGAGTATATACGTCAACCACGGTACCTCGTAAGACGTATATATACGACCGCGACAGGATTGCGAAAAGAATTTAGGGGTTAGCAGCAATTTAAAACCAATACAACAGTGTATTAGTGTTAGCAATAAAGTTAACAGAATTTTTGGCTTCATATCTAGAAGTATAAATAATAGAAGTCCTCAGGTTGTTCTTCAACTCTATATATCCTTGGTTAGGACTCATTTAGACTATGCTGCCCAGTTCTAGTCACCGTATTACAGAATGGATATAAATGCTGTGGAAAATGTACAGAGGAGGATGACAAAGATGATCCTATGTATCAGAAATCTTCCCTATGAGGACAAACTGAGTGCCCTGAATCTGCACACTCTCGAAAGGCATACAATTAGGGAGGATATGATTGAGGTGTATAAATTGAAAACAGGAATAATTAAAGGGGATGTAAATAGCGTGCTGAAAACTTCAAGCCAAGACAGGATTCGTAGCAATAGTTTCAAGCTGGAAAAATTCAGATTCAGTATGGATATAGGAAAGCACTGGTTTGGTAATAAAGTTGTGGATGAGTGGAACAAACTCCCGAGTACAGTTATTGAGGCTTAAACGTTGTGCAGTTTTAAAAATAGGTTAGATAAATACATAAGTGGGTGTGGATGGGTGTGAGTTTCACCGGACTAGCTTGTGCTGCTGGGTCTGGGACCGTGCTCCTTTCTTGAGTGGAGGTGACCGGACTGGGTGGGTCATTGGGATAATCCGGGGGGGACATGGACTTGATCCGCATAGGTCAGTAGGCCTGTTGCAGTGTTCCTTCTTTCTTTTGTTCTTATGTTCTTATCTTCTTATAAGGGAAATTACCAATAAACACCTAAATAACAAAATGGCACAATACTATAACTGGAACAATACACAAATAACCTGCACATAGCAGAAAGAAGCTTTTACGCTTCGGTTCGACTTGGACCATTGACTAGGTACACTAGCACAAGAAGATGAGTGAGCCAGTATATGTAGGAGAGTAGGACAGTGACGGGACAAAGAAAGGAAAAAAGAAGGAGGTGGTGAAGTAGTGGTAGAGGTACAGGTAATTCTTGAAGTGGAAGTAGCAGTAGTAGTAGTAGTAGTAGTGGTAGTAGGTAGTAGTAGTAGTAGTAGTGGTAGTAGGTAGGGGGATTAGTAGTAGTGGCACAAGAGAAAGAAAAGGGAATGAAGAGAGACAAAAGCAGTAGCAGTAGTAGAGTAGTACTAGTAGTAGTGGAAGTAGAAGTGGAGTAAGTCTAAGGACAAAACAAAGGAGCACTGCAGAAGAGCTAATGACAAACGAGGGTGGAACCAAAAACTCAAGGAGAGGAAAGCTCTAGGACAGGACACACAGTGAAAATATAAGAAAGAAGAAGTGGTAGTAAGAGGAAGAGGAAAAGAAATAATCATGTAAAGTCACGAGTGTTCTGAAGGTTGGAACATTTGACATTGTAATGAGAAAGGAAGGTATCTACAAAGCCAGGATTAAGATTTATATTAGGAAAGTTGTGTATAAGTAATGTTTCAGGAAGACGGCGTCCGTGAAGGCTAGAAGCAGGGTAGACAGTTTTAGAAGCAGACCAATCAAAAGGGTAACTGTGATTTTTATTATGACATAAAGAGAGCGGCCAGTTTCTTAAAGTGTTGAAGAGGACAAGAGGACCAGCAAACAGAATAGACTCAAGAAGCGTCAATAACAGTAGGAGAGGCACGAACTAGATTACTGCTAAGGATGTTAGTTTGGTGAAAAGTAAGTTTGGTGTCTAAGGAACGGAGATTAGAAAGATTGGAAATATGAGAAAGAGAGAGAACAGGAGATTGCACTGGAGTAGAGCGTCTGGGAGAGAAGAAAGTCAGTTTAGCACGTGAGAAGTCAGTTTATGACAATGGAAGGGTAGACAAAACTGAAGCACCCTTCTTTCCCTTCCTTACCACGCGCTTAAGTACCATTCCTTCATCGAGCACTTCCTCCCTCACTGCACATTCAATTTCGCATTCCACGCTCTCTCATCACACAATCAAGAATCCAGGCTTCTTCCATTACCCAATAAATTATTCATCTTTACTATCCTAACATCCAGCCCTCCCTCCTTCACATATTCAAGTACCACATACTCTAGCATCCATCAATCCCTTCCTCACCCAACACTCATGCATGCACTCATTCTTCCCTCACAGACTCAATGAAAAGTACGCATCCTTTCTCCCATCACCACTCACTTAGCACCATTCCCATCACTCACTCACCACTCTTTTCAGCAACCATACCTTCCCTCCCTTACTCCTACTTCTCTCAACTGGTCATCCTCCCTAGTTAATCAGGCACTCAAACACCATTCTCCATCCTTGTCACTCACTCTACGTACCCATCCCTTCAGGTCAAAACACACTCAAGCACCCATCCTCAAAACACAATCAAAAACCAACCATTCCATCTTCACACACAATTGAAGCAACACATCCATACTCTCTCACACAGATTGAACCACCAATCCATCCAATCTCTCATCCACACATCTGATATAGCAACCATTCCATCCCTCTCTCATCACACACTGAAGCACCAATCACCCTACACCACTCTCTCATCACATTTTGATCCACCAATCCATCCATCTCTCTCCACAAATTGATGCACAAACTATCCATCCATCTCTCACCACCCATTGAGCAACAATTCATCCTCTCTCAAACACATTGAAGCACAATCCATCTAATCTACTCTACAACATTGAAGCAACAATCCATCCCTATTCATCACAACAACTGAAGGCACCACAATCCTTACCTTATATCACACATTGAGCACCCAATTCATCTCTCTCTCACCACACACTGAGCACCAATTCATCCTCTCTCACCACGCACTGATACACATATCCATCCTCTCTCACTACACATTGATGCACCCTATCCATCTTTCTTCATTTATCATTCACAAGTATACCGTCCCATTCTCTCAAACACCTCTCAGCAATAGCTTTTCTCTTCAACACACCCAAGCACCGCTTCTCTCCTTCTCAACTCACTCCCCAAGGACCGTTATCTCCTCATCACTCCCCGAAGCACCGTTCTCCTCTTTGTTTCACTTCCAAGCACTGCTCCCCTTCCTTGTCATACATCCCCAAGCTCAGCTCTTCGTCCTTGTAAACACATCCTAGCATGCTACCTCTCATTGTCAACACATCCAAGCACAGCTCATCGATCCTTGTCAATGATCCCAAGCACCGTCCTACTCCGTGTCAACATATCCCAAAGCTTCATATTCCCCTCATTGTCACATACCCCAAGCACCGCTTGTCCTCCTTGTCAACACACCCCAAGCACCGTTCTCCTCCTTGTCTACACAATCCCAAGCACGCTCCATCCTCCTTGTCAACATACTCCAAGCACCGTTCTCCTCTTGTCAAACTCTCCCAAGCACCGCTTCTCTCCTCAACACACCCCAAGCACCTCTTATTCTCCTCCTCAATTTACACCACCAAAGCACCGCTTCTCCTCCTAACACCCCACAAGCACCTTTTTCTCTCCTCAACACACCCTTTAAGGCACACGCTTATCCTCATCCTCAACAACCCCCAGCAAGCTTCTCCTCCTCAAAACTCCCCAAGTACCGCTCTCATCCTCAACGAACCCCAATCACTGCTTATTCTACTCCACTCAACACCATCTCATAGGACCTCTTATACTCCTCCTCTAACACACCCCAAGCCACCGCCTTCTACCTCCTCCTCAACATCCCCCAAGCACCGCTTCTTCCTCCTCCTAAACTCCTCCCGAAGCTCAGTTCTCTCTTTATCAACACACCCAAGCACCCGCTTCTCTCCTCCTCAACACAACCCAAGCACCGGCTTTCCCCTCAACACAACCAAAGCACAGCTCTCCTAAGCACACCCCGAGAGATACATTCTCCTCCTCAACACACCACAAGCACCGCTTCTCCCTTCTCTCTCTCCTCAGTCTCAAGCAGTCGTCCTTTATTTCTTCAACGTACACTCACGAATTCAGTCTTTCATTCCTAGTCACACACTTAAGCCTCTATTCGTTTCTCATTCGCCACATCCTCAAAAATCCAGTCCTTCCTCTCTCAGCACACAACACAACACTAATCCCTCCCTCACTGACAACACTTCCTAGCGCCATTTCCCATCCTTTCTCACCACACACTGAAGGATCCATCACTAACTTTCCTCACCAACACTCAAGCTTTATTACCTAGTAGGACACCACTGCACCACACATTGCTGCCGCTCTCTCTCCATATACTCCAGTAGACACACTCTACCACACATTGCTGCCTCCCTCTCCATATACTCCAGTAGACAACACTCTACCACACATTGCTGCCTCATTCTCCATATATTCTCAGTAGACACACTATACCTCACATGCTGCCTCTCTCTCCATATACTACAGTTGGACCAACTCTACCAAACCATTGCTGCCTCTATCTCCATATACTCCATTATGACACACACGACCACACATTGCGCCTCCTCTCATATACTCCAGTAGTACACTCTAACACCACCCATTTGCTCCCTCTTTCCATATACTCCAATAGTCAACCACTACCTCACTTTGCTGCCTCCCTTACTTATACTCCAGTAGTCACACTCTACCAACCCCCCCATACCCCCCTTTGCTGCCTCCAGCTCCATATACTACCAGTATGACACATTACCACACATTGCTGCTACCTCACCATATACTCCAGATAGACCCACACTTCCACACATTACTGCCTCTCTCTCCATATACTCAGTAACAGCAATACCACAATTGCTGCCTCTTCGCCATTTACTCCAGTAGACACACTCTACCACACATTCTGCCTCTCTCTCCATATACGCCTGTTGACAACACAATACACCATCACATTGACATGCCTCTCTCTCCATATACTCAAGTAGACACAACTCTACCAAACTTTGCTGGCCTCTCTCTCCATATACTCCAGTAGATCGCACACTACCTCACTCATGCTGCCTCTCTCTCCATATACTCCAGTAGAACACACTTCTATACCTCAACATGCTGCCTCTCTCTCCATTTATCTCTGGGGGAGACACACACTTACACACATTGCTGACTCTCTCTCCATATACTCAGTAGACTACACTCTAACACACATTGTGCCTCTCTCTCATATAATCAGTAGGACACACCACTACCACACCATTGCTGCTCCCTCTTCCTATAATCCAGTTGACACAATCTACCACACATTTGCTGCCTCCCTCTCTTTATACTTCCAGTAGACTCACTCTACCACACATGATTGCCTCCCTCTACATATTACTCCAGTAGACACACTCTACCACACATTGCTGCCTCCATCTCCTACATATACTCCAGTAGACAAAACTCTACCACACATTGCTGCCTCCCTCTCCTAATACTCCAGTGACACACTCTACCACACATTGCTGCTCCTCTCCAATATCCAGTAGACACTCACTACCACACATTGCTGCCCTCCCTCTCAATTACACTCAGTAGACACACTCTACCACCACATTGCTGCCTCTCTATCATTTACTCAGTAGACACACTCTCCATCAAATTGCCTGCCCTCCCTCTCCATACACTCCTGTAGACAACACTACACACATTGCTGCCTCTCTCTCCATATATCTCCAGTAGACACACTACCACACATTGGCTGCTCCCTATCAATACACTCCAGTAGACACACTCTACCACCACATTGCTGCATCTCTCTCATACACTAGTTGACACACTCTACCACTCACATTGCTGACTCTCTCTCCTTATACCTCCAGTTAGACTCCACTACCACACATTGCTGACCTCTCCTCTCCAACACTCCCAGTAGATCCACTCTCACAACACTTTGCTGACTCTCTCTCCATTACATCCAGTAGACACATCTACCACACATTTTCTGCCTCTCTTCTCCATACACTCAGTTAGACACACTACCACACATTGCTGCCTCCCTCTTCCATACACTCCAGTAGACAACACTCTACCACACATTGCTGCCTCTCTCTCCATCACTTCCAGTAGGGACACACTCTACCACACATTGCTGCTCCTCTCATACACTCCAGTAGGACAAGCTCTACCACACATTGCTGCCTCTCTCTCCTATACACTACAGTAGACACCACTCTACCACACATTGCTGCTCTCTCTCTCATACCACTCCAGTTAGACACACTCTACCACACAATGCTGCCTCCCTCTCCATACCTCCTCCAGTAGACACACTCTACCACACATTGCTGACCTCTTCTCCATACAATACCAGCAGACACACTCTACCAACACATTGCTGCCTCCCTCTCCATTACACTCATAGACACACTATTCCACACATTGCTGCCCTCTCTCCTTTCACTCCAGTTGACACACTTACCACTCATTGCTGCCTCTCTCTACATACACTCCAGTAAGACACACTACCACAAATTGCTGCCTCCCTCTCCATACACTCCAGTAGAAACACTACCTCACATTGCTGCCTCCCTCTCCATATACTCCAGTAGACCACACTACCACACATCTGACTGCCTCCCTTCTCCT